TGAACCTCAGGCATCCAGGAGCTGTAACTGGAGACACAGGTTCTGGTCCCAGGCATTGGAATTGTGCCTGGCTTCGTAAACAGAGCAGGTGGTACCCACCATGGCTTTGAGTTTTCCTTCTGTAATTTACCCCTTTTAAATTAAACCCTTAGATTGTCCTTAAAATCAAATAATTTTAATTATTCTGAGGCTCTTCTTCTGTGGACCTTTGCACTATTACCCTTATAAGTGATGAGCAATAAAAATAGTATAAGTACTCACCTAACCTTACTCACCCAATCAGCTGCTTTCTCTTGCCTCGTGTCACTTTTTGATCTTTTTCCCTGACTGCTTCACTGTGATTCCTGCACACTATTTCTATCTAACTAATCATTCAATATCCACTGCCTCAATTGAAGCTGCCTCCACCACATTTCCAGGCAATGCATTGCAGATTCTAACTACTTGCTGTGTGAAAATGTTTTTATCTCACCTCACATGACTATTTGGCAAATCACTTAGAATCCATGCCCTCTGGCTCTTTACCCTTTAATGAGCAAGAACAATTTCTTCCCATCTATTTTCTCCAGCCCCCTCATAATTTTGAAAACATTCACCAGATCTCCTCTTAGCCTTCTTTGCTTCAAGGAGAACAGCCCCAACTTGTTCAATCTATCCTCAAAACTGAAAGTTCTCATCTCTGGAACCATTCTTGTAGATCAGTTAGGTCAGAAGTCATACAACACCAGGTTATAGTCCAACAGGTTTATTTAAAAACGCTCAAGCTTTGGGAGCATAGTCCGTTTGTCAGGTGAAGCCACAAAGATGTGGCCCTTTGTCAGAGCTCACCAGTTCGAAAAGAGAATCTTCTGTAAATTTATCCATGTTTTACCATGATTTCCATATTGGTATGTATTTACAGTAGCCCCTGTGCTGAACATGCTTTCTTTGTTGTTTTTTTTGTTATGTTACTATTTGGCAGCAGCACAATGGGTAGCAAACTGGGTACAGAACAGAAAACACACAGTTTAATTGAGAAGGACTACTCAGACTAGCAAATGGTGGGAAGTGTTTTTTTCAGAAGAATCAATGTCGTTTACATTAACAATTTCGGCTCAAATCCAAAGTACAAATTCAAGATTTGTAAATGACACCTGATATTTTTGGGTAGAGGGAAGAGATTGGGAGATGGGATGTGGTGTGATTACAGTGATTCTGAGGTAAACTGAGAAATTACCAAAGGTATAATAGACTTTCAATGTGGGTATGTCGTCAGCACATAGGGTTATAGAGATACACAGAACAGAAACAAACCCTTTGGTCCAACTCGTCCATGCTGACTTCCTATCCTAAGGAAAAGGAATGTGTGAGGTGTTAAAGTTTGGTAAGAAAAATGAGGAATCTGTATGACAAAGAGTTAAATGGGGTAGTAAAACAAAGTGATTGTGGTCCAAATACCTTAAATCATCAAAAATAACAAACTGGTCAGTTGCATTTCGAAGAAAAGCAAACAGCACTGGGCTTTGTTCTCAGGGGGATAGATTTATAAAGTTGTGAAATTATATTCAACTTGTACTGAACAATGAAAGACCATACTTGGAGCACTGAGCGATTCTTGTTCCTTCAAAAGGATTTAGAAATGCTCGTGGAATTGCAAACAATATTTACAAAAGTGAGAGCTTGTACCTATCAGAGATGAAAGAACATGCTTATGGTTCTTTTACTTGCAAAAAGAATGCTGAAATGTGTTCCTAGCAGCAGTTATTAAAATTGTGAAGGGGGTTGAAAGGGCTGATGTGGAAATGATGTTTCTAGTTGTGAAGATAACGATCAATAAATCCAATTTTTCCAGGTGAATGTGGAACTTGCTAACACAAGCTGTAGTAAGAGCTAAACACCATTTAGGACATTGCGCCTTTAATGAAATGGAACACCTTAAAGTATGACAAAGCAAAACTTGACTCCAAACCAATTGAGAAAATAAGGAGGGTAACTCAAAGCTTTGTCAGTGGTACATTTACAGGACATCTTGGGGGTGGAAAGAAATGTGAAGTGGTTCAGGGAGGAATTCCAGAGTCGAGTGCCTTGGCAACCAAAGACCCAGTACAAATGGTGGAGCAATTCAAATTGAGAATGCTGAAAAGGTTAGAAGGGAGGAGCAGAGATATCTTTTACATTTGTAGGATGGGACGGGAATACAGAGAGTGATGGGAGGCCATGGAGATGGAAAATGGATATAGAATGCAATTGAGGGAATGAAATAGGGGTGATACAGGAAGCAGTGATGGAATGGGGATTATATGAGATGGTGAAATGTACTCTAATAGAATGAGGTTGGCCTGAGATGGATTACTTGGGAAGGATGGAAAGTGATGGGGATTTAATAAAATGAAGGTACTAATTTCAGTCCACATGTTTTGTGGGTTACTGCTAATTAATCAATAAAAAGGGGACATCTTTTGCACCCTGCATATTGACAGTAAATGAACAGGATTCCTAAACAAAGCCAAACGCCAATTATAAAGAGCTGTAGGTTCAGAGATACTTTTTTGCGCACCCCAATGACATTGAGATTTAGAACCTTAACTGATAAAATTTTAAAATAAGGGGCATGAGAAATAGAAATCTGTGATTGCGTGTATACAATCCTTCATCAGATGGTAGGACAGCTAAATGGGATGGTTTCGAAAAGGAGGTCCTAGAATGGTAGCAAGGTTGTAGAATTTCAGTTTTATGGAGAGACAGGAGAAGCTCTAGTTTTTATTCTTTTGGGCTGAGAAAGTTAAGGGAAAACTTAATAGACATTCAAAATAACAAAGGTCTTTCATCAAATAAGTAATGAGAAAACATTTTCTGCAACAGAAGGTCAGATGACAGAAAACTGGTTGGTGAACCAGAGTAGAGATATGTTGCTTAATGTGGTGAGTGTAGTCGGGAATGCTTTGCTGGAAAGTATTGTGGAAGTAGAGTCAGTAATATTTACAAGGCAGTTAGATATTGGACATTGAAATGGAGAAATATGTAGCTCTGTGGGGAAATAGTTGGGGAAGAGGATTAGTTGAGAGTTCTAAAGAGCTACCACCAGTACAATAGGCTGAGTAGCCTCCTTCAGTGCTGTATCTTTTTATTGTGTCTGATTTGATACAGTGATGACTGAACAAATTTGTCTGAATCTTAACCACTTGGACCAGGGTGAATACTGAGACAAAAGCCTTGATCACAAAAGCTTTAGCTCTTAATTTGTGTCGAAGATGATTCAGTGCCTATCATAGAAAATTGTGTTGGAAACTTGTGATTTGTACTCGGTCAAAATATATTATTTACCATGCCCGTCTTGCAATATTGGGAGAGGACTTGAGGAAAATGGCATAAATATTGGGTGTTTAATTAAACGCACGAGGTTTTCGTAAGAATTTAAAAATGTGTTGCAGTACCCATCAGCAAATAGATCAATTGAAGTACCTAACACATCCAGGATATAGGAATGAGTGGATTTTCAACCACTTTTTTTTTTCTTTTTCTCTTATCTCTTCATCACGTTTTATTCTCCATCTCTGTCTAACTTCGCTGCTGTCTGTAAAGATCAATTTCCTATGAATGGAAATTCACTTTTTAGGAGAGTGGAAGTCCATTTAAAAAGTGGTTCATTATACTTGAGAATTTACTTTTGACATCGCGGTCTCATGGCTCCCAATACAGCTAATTAAAAATAGTTGGAAAATATTACAGTTTTCTTATTTCACGGAGTGTAACTCAATATCCATACTAAATTGGCCTTCCATTGTATGTAGGGTTCTGTGTTGCAAGACAGTTAGAATGTCCTTCTACCTTTAGTCATGAGAAAAAATAGATTTCTCTTGCATGCTTCAGTGGGCAGGGAAAGAGAACATTGACCAACATAGCTCAATTACAAGAATTAAATGCACAAATTAAACAATGGTTGAAATCTCAATCCAGTGCTAACATTTACCCAGTACAGTGAATTGTGTTCTGTGTTCTGTGTTCTGTGTTTTCAGTGGTCAAACAATTGCATCAGTTTAGCATTCACAATTGCGATGAGGCTTTTGAAAACTGCATTTTCATGCCTGTGTGCTCCTTTTGAGCAAGTTCATGGGTTATTAATTTAACTTCCCCAGTAGCGTTCTCACTTGTTTTCAGAATCTATGCAACACAATTCTCTCTTAACCTTTTAATCTAATTTCCCCTGTATGTTTTTACATCAAATATATCTCTGAACAAGTCAGTTTCTCTTGAGTTCCCTATTGGACTTAATTGTGACTGTCTTGTATTTATGGTTCCTAGTTTTGGACTCCTACCAAATAGAAATTCCTTCTTGACATCTACTCTGTCGAACCCTTCAATAAAGTTAAAGCTATCAAGTCACCCCATCAGCTTTCTCTTCTAGACAAAAGAGCCCCAGATTATTCAACATTTCCTGACCAGTATCATCATCCTTGTAAACCTTCTTGATCAACTCTCTATTTTTATGATCGGGAGACCAGAATTGCCCCATGTGTCTGAATGTTGTCTTATCTAATTCTGTACAAGTTTAGCACAACCTCTCTGATTTCACTTCTATTGCTGTAGAGTCACAGGGTCACTACAGCACAGAAGTAGGTGCTTTGGCCCTTCAAATCTATGCTAATTCTTGATAGAACAATCCAGTCAGCCCTGCTGCCTCACTCTGTCCCTTTAACCTTGCAACTTCATTCCCTCATGCACCTCTTTAAATTTCCTTTTAAAATTGTTGTTCGTTTACACATACCCCATGCTGTTAAACTGAGAGATCCAGGACTTTACCACACGGCGCATAAAAATAGTCTGTCCTCACGTCACTGTTTCATTTATCATCCAAAACCTTGAACCTATGTTTGCTAGTCCTTGTACCATCCACTGCATAATTCAATGTAAATGAATCTCCCTAAGTTCAAGTGAAATAATGCATATAAATCCACAGAAGCTTCAAAGTAGAAAGTTGCCTAAATTCTGTGTCTTAATTTTAAGTTCCTTTTCCACTTCAGGCTTTCACTGAGTCTTCAGGATGTCTGATAGCGACGGTAGCAACTTCACTGATGATGAGAGTTCCCGCAGCAGTGAGGCAGAGGAACAAGAGGAAATTGAGGTAATTAAAACTGTGCAAATTCGCTGGTTATTTCGTATTTGGAGAAAATGCTATATTGACTTCGTGACTAAATATGCCTTCATTCCCACCTTTCCTCAACTCCTGCTTGTATGCGTGACTGGACTTGAATGTTTGAACTCCTCGTCAGCTGTAGTTCAGTGATACTACATTGCCTCTGCTTCAGAAGGTTCTGGATCCTAGTTCCAGGGACTGAACACAAAATTTTAGGCCAGCTCTCTGATACGAGGCTGCTGCACAATGTCAGAGGTTCAATGTTTCAGAAGAGATGTTAAACTGGTGGACTTGAAGGATCCCATGGCACTATTTTGAGCAAGAACAGGAAAGCTCTCCCTGGTGTCCTGGATTGTGTTTACTCTTCAATCACTACCCTAGAAACAAATTAACTGATCAATGTCACATTGATTTTTGTGGGAGCTGGCAGATTGGCTACTGTGTTTCCTGTGCTGCAAGAGTGACTACATTTCAAAAGTACCTTGTCAGCTATACAGCTCTTTAGGATGCTTCTGACCTTCAAAGGTACTATATTAAGGCAACATATTTTTCTTTTCATTTATAAATTTTGGGCCATGTTAGATGCTGTTATTGATTAACACGCCACTAGTAATTCATTGATTGGCACTCTATCCACCACTATGAACATTCACCCCCTCCACCAACAACATAGTGGCAGCAGTGTATACCATCTACAAAATGTACCATGGTGATTCACCAAGGGTCCTTCAGCAGTACTTTCCAAACCCGCAACCTTGACTCACTGAGAGCACAACCAGCTTCAAATTCTCCCCACTCCCATCCTGACTTGAACTATATTGCAGGTTAGTTTAGCATTGCTGGGTCAAAATCCTGGAACTCCTAAACTGCACAGTGGGTAGATCACCTTCCCCTGGATTGTAACAGTTCATTTAGAACAATAACTGCTGACCCATACAGGGGTGACAACATCTGGCAAATAAAATAAAAGCAGAATACCTTTGGTGGTGCTTATGGATTTTCTGGGGTTACAGGATGGAATTTAGTAAGAACACAACATAAGAAATAGAAGCAGAACATGGGTGTTTTCCCCTTTGAACCTCCACCACTGTTCGATAAGATTATGGTTGATTTTTTGCCCCAGTTATACTTTCCTGCCCTATCCCATGTCTCTTAATTCTCTTTGCATCTACAAATTTGTCAGTGACTCTGCAGTTGGGAATTGTTCCACATGCCTCTTAAAAGACAGATATAAATAAAACTCATTCAGATATCTATAGCCACACTCTTCATTTGGCAGGAGTAAGACATGCTAAAGGTGAAATTGTTCAATGCGAGGACAAGTTCAGCTGGGAGGAGAGTGGTGATGGGTTGGGACTGTCTGTCCTCTTTTCATGGAAGAAGTGGAGAGCTCTCAGACTATCTCGTTAGGGGATGGAGGTGTTGAGGAATTGGATATACATAGTGAAGAGGGGACAGTTAGGACCAAGCAATGGAAATAATTGAAATATTATAGGGTATTAGAGGAATCTCAAACATAACTATTAAGAGACTATTCAATTGGAGAAAAGGAAATGGAATCCAACAGAAGGAAATAAGTTCAATGAGGCAAAAGCAGGTTGAAATGATGTGTCTATCAAGGCGATGCTGTTTGAGGATTTTGAGAAGGATGTAGGTGTTGGGGTACTGTGGAGGAACTTCACATCTTAGAGGGAATATCTCCAGAGGAGACAAAGTCGGTAACAGTCTGGTTTAATGTTTGGTGGTGGGGTCATGGTCCATTGGTTATAGAGTTTGTGACAGCAGAATCATCCTTGTCAGCATGTTTGAAAACAGTGTTGAGGTTAGACCTGAGAGATTGGAGTACAACATGTTCCAAGAGAGATAGTAAGAACTGCCGATGCTGGAGTCAGAGTTCTTCATTTCTGAAGAAGGGTCCTGGCCTGAAATGTCAGCTTTCCTGCTCCTCTGATGCTGCCTGGCATGCTGTGTTCCTCCAGCTCCACACTATGTTCCAAGAGAGACAGGCTAGAATGAGTAAGGGCAGCAGAGTAATTGAAACGACTGATGTCATGATGAGCATTGAGATGCCAGAGAGAGGAGTCCATCTTTTGGGGGAGTGGTGGTGGGAGGAATATGGTGGTGGAATGCTGTATGTAAGTGGAAAGATATGCTGGTTGTGAGGAGGACATGTGCCCAAGATAAGTAGGCACTGTGGTGAAGTGTAGTGACAAAAGAGTTCAAAAGTTGTGCAGAACCCGAAGTGTATTGAGTTTGTGGCATAATGGAATAAAACTGAGTCTTTCACTGACCACAGATTGTTTCACATCAGAGATGGAAAGTTCAGAGAGTGTAGTGAATACACCCCAAGAGGTGGGACTGGAAGAAGGGATTAAGTCTGAAGGAATGAGAGGGGGTTGGAGGGGAGTGATCCAGAGGATGATGGTAACTATACACTGCTAGAGTTTGCATCCATTTGCATCTGAAAAGAGAAACATTTCCTGTCAAGGCTATGGATAAGATGAAGAATGAAATGAAACTTGGCAGCTTTGACGTAGGATGAATCAGTGCTGTTAGAGAGAGGAGGTCGAGTGTGCAAATGTGGCAACTCATGCCATTGAATGTGGAATTCAGCAGACTAAGGAATGTTGTTTGTACAGGTATAATTTGTGTGTATCCCTGTCATTTGTAATTAATTTGTGTGTATCTCTGTCATTGCACAGTTACACCTTTCAAAGTCAGTATCTTGACACATTTGTCACCAGTCCTTTTCTACAACAGTACTGAGGGGAAAAAGACTTGAAATTAGCAGAGCAGAATCAAAAAATGCCGGACTATGTTAACTGTTTGCAATTAATTTTTATGAGGGTGCGGATATGAGACATATTTGCAATGTCACGTGGAAATGAAATATGAGAGATTTATTTAGCTTAAATTAACAAAAACATCCTATTTATAGATTCTAAGTTGAAAGATTTTTTTTCTATTCATTTGTGGGATGTGGGTGTCGCTGGCTGGTCAGCATTTCTTGCCCATCCCTAGTTGCCCTTGGGAAGGTGGTGGTGAGTTGTCTTTCTGAACTGCTGCAGTCCTCCTGCTATGGGTTGACCCACAATACTATTAGGGAGGGAATTCCAGGATTTTGACCCAGCAACAGTGAAGGAACGGCGATATATTTCCAAGTCAGGATGGTGAGTGACTTGGAGGGGAACTTGGAGGTGGTGGTGTACCCATATGTCTGATGCCCTTATCCTCCTAGATGGAAGTGGTTGTGAGTTTGGAAGGTGTTATCTGCGGATCTTTGGTGAATTTCTGCAGTGCATCTTGTGGATGTACTGCCAATCAAGCGGGTTGCTTTGTCCTGGATAGTGTCAAGCTTCTTGAGTGTTATTGGGACTGCACTTATGCAGGCAAGTGAGGAGTATTCCATCATGCTCCTGACTTGTGCCTTGTAGATGGCAGATAGGCTTTGAGGAGTCAGGAGGTGAGTTACTCACTGCATATTCCTAGCTTCTGGCCTGCTCTTGTAACCATTCTGTTAATGTGGTGAGTCCAGTTGAGTTTCTGGTCAATAGTAACTCCCAGGATGTTGATAGTGGGGGATTCAATGATGGTAACACCATTGAATATCAAGGGGTGGTGGTTAGATTGTCTCTTATTGGTGATGGTCATAGCCTGGCATTTGTGTGGCGCGAATGTCACTTGCTACTTGTCAGCCCAAGCCTGGGTATTGTCCTGATCTTGTTGCATACGAGCATGGACTGCTTCAGTATCTGAGTGATACTGAATGGTGCTGAACATTATGCAATCATCGGCGAACATCCCCACTTCTGACCTTATGATGGAGGGAACGTCATTGGGCTTCGGACACTACCCTGAGGAACTCCTGCAGAATGTCCTGGAGCTGAGACGATTGACCGCTAACAACCATAACCATCTTCCTATGTATCAGGTATGACTCCAATCACTAGAGAGTTTTCCCTCTTGATACCCATTGATTCCAGTTGTGCTAGGGCTCCTTGATGCCACACTCAGTCGAATGCAACCTTGATATCAAGGGCTGTTACTCTCACCTCACCTTTGGAATTTAGCTCTTTTGTCCATGTTTGAACCAAGGCTGTAATAAGATCAGGAGCTGAGAGGCCCTGGCGGAACCCAAACTAGGCGTCACTGAACAAGTTATTTCTGAGCAGACGCAGCTCGATAGCATTGTAGATGACACCTTCCATCACTTTACTGATGATTGAGAGTAGACTGATGGGCTGGTAATTGGCTGGATTGGATTTGTCTTGCTTTTTGTGGACAGGACATACTTGGGCAATTTTCCACATAGTCGGGTAGATCCCAATGTTGTAACTGGACTGGAACAGCTTGGCTAGGGGGGCAGCAAGTTCTGGAGCACAAGTCTTCAGTACTATTGCCGGAATGTTGTCAGGGCCCTGTAGCCTTTGCAGTATCCAGTGTCTCCAACCATTTCTTGATATCACATAGAATGAATCAAATTGGCTGAAGACTGATTTCCCTAATGCTGGGGACCATTGGAGGAGGCCGAAATGGATCATCCACACGGCACTTCTGGCTGAAGGTTGCTGTGAATGCTTCAGCCTTATCTTTTGCACTGATGGGCTGGGCTCTTCCATCATATAAGATGGGGATATTTATGGAGCCTCCTCCTCCAGTGAGTTGTTTAATTATTCACCGCCATTCACCACTGGATGTGGCAGGACTGCAGAGCTTACATCTGATCCGTTGGTTGTGGGATCGCTTAGCTCCGTTTATCACTTGCTGCTTTCACCGTTTCGCGTGCAAGTAGCCCTGTTTGGTGGCTTCAGCAGGTTGATACCTCATCTTTATGTATGCCTAGTGCTGCTCCTGGCATGCCTTCCTGCATTCTCCATTGAACCAGTGTTGAGCCCCTCGCTTGATGTAATGGTTGAGTGGGGGATATGCTGGGCCATGAGGTTACAGATTGTGCTGGAGTACAGTTTTGCTGCTGGTGATGGCCCACAGTGCCTCGTGGATGCCCAGTCTTGAGGTGCTAGATCTATGCGAAGTCTGTCTCATTTAGCACGGTGATAGTACCACACAACATGATGGAGATTATTTTTAATGTGAAGGCGGGACTTTACCTCCACAAGGACTATACGATGGTCACTCTTACTGATGCTGTCATGGACAGATGCAGCTGCAACTGGCAGGTTAGTAAAGATGAGGTCAAGTATGTTTTTCCCTCTGGTTGGTTCCCTCACCACCTGGCACTGACCCTGTCTAGCAACAACGTCCTTTAGGACCCAACCAGCTTGATCAGTAGTACTGCGGCCGAGCCAATCTTGGTGGTGGACATTGAAATCCCCCACCCAGAGTACATTTTGTGCCCCTGCCATCCTCCGTGCTTCCTCTGTATTGTTCAACATTGAGGAGTACTGATTCATCAACCGAGGGAGGACGGTATGTGGTCATTAGTAGGAGGTTTCTTTGCTTCTGATTCTGTGAGTATGACTATGTCAGGCTGTTGCTTAACTAGTCTGTGAGACAGCTGTCCCAATTTTCGCACTAACCCCCAGGTGTTAGTGAGGAGGACTTTGCAGGGTTGACAGGGCTGTTTCTGACGTTGTCTTTTCTGGTGCCTAGGTCGATGCCAGGTGATCCGTCCAGTTTCATTTCTTGGAGACTTTGTGGCAATTGGTGCAACTGAGTGGCTAGCTAGGCCATTTCGGAGGGCAATTGAGAGTCAACCACATTGCTGTGGGTCTGGAGTCACATGTCGGCCAGACCAGGTGAGGGTGGCAGATTTCTTCCCCTGAAGGACATTAGTGAACCAGATAGGTTTTCCGATAATTGGCAATGCTTAATTCCAGACTTTTTTTAAAATTCAAATTCCACCATCTGCTGTAGCGGGATTCGAACCCAGGTCCCCAGAACGTCAGCTGGGTTTCTGGATTAATAGTTGAACGATAATACCACTTGGCCATTGCCTACCCTCATATATAGTTGCAATCTTTGGTACTTTTGCTATCTTATCTATCTAAAGAAGAAAAACCTAAAATAAATCAACATAAACGCAGAAGGTAATGTTATTTATATGATTGCATCACCTATAAAGGAGTTGGTGAGAACGAAAATGGAGTCACCAAAAACTGAAATGTGGCTCTGAGAATCAAAATGTATCTAGGGAGAGAGTTTGATTCCCAGATGCCTTCATTTCTTCTATTCACCACACTCTTAAATAGGTGTCAGAAGTCCCTCTAAATGCATCAGGTGTATCTGTTCAAAAAGCTTCATGTGACTTCCACGTTCTTATCATCCTGTATTTAAGGAAGTGCTTCCTCAATGTTTTATTTGATTTATTAGTGATTATCTTGTATTTACACGCAGTTATTCTGGTTTCATCCACGAGTGGAAACATTTTCTGTGCATTCCTCCTGTCCAGCTCCTTCGTAAAGATCTCTCTCATGTTTCCTCTCAGTTCATATCAGAGAAAAAGATCTTGGGCTGATCAATCTTTCCAGATGGTTTTGTTCTCTTAATTCTGACTTGTTGATAGATTCTGTTTAGCTTATTAATTTTCAAATATTTATCTCATCATTAATTTGTCTCAGTCTGGTTTTTTGTCATTCAGGAGGAGGAAGAGCATGCCAGTAGGGGCAGTGAGAAAGCGGAGGGAGAAGGTGAGATAGAAGAAGCGGAAGAAGCTGATGAGGAAGAGGAGGAGGAGGAAGAGGAGGAGGAAGAGGAGGAAGAGGAAGAGTATGATGAGGAAGATGATGATGACCGACCCAAGAAGAAGCCACGACATGGAGGATTCATCTTGGATGAAGCTGGTACTGAACATGATTTGCTTTTTTCTGCAATTATATGTCTGAATGTGTTGCTTTTTATCTGATCATCTTGTTTCACTATCAAGCAGCATTTTTAATACAGTAGGAACTGCCGATGCTGGAGAATCTGAGATAACACTGTGTAGAGCTAGATGAACACAGCAGGCCAAGCAGCATCAGAGGAACAGGAAAGCTGACGTTTCGGGTCGAGACCCTTCTTCAGAAATGGTGG